ACCAAATGGGGAAACATATTTTGACAGTTTTCCATTTTTGTCAATTTGACAAGTCAATGTAAATGTGAGTACTTGCAAGCGTTTTTGCTCTGTACTTCATTGGAGTAAACTATGTGGGAGGGTCTATTTCGATGCATTACTTTCTAAAATAGAGATTTTAGCTTTTGGCATTATTATTTTAAATAAAAAAATACTTCTACAAAACGTTAGGTGACAGATTAAATAAAACTTTTAAATTACCACAAAATTTCGTCAAAATCCCGCCAAACCGTCGTCTAAGCTACGCGCCAAAATTAGTAAAGGAAACATCTGGAACCTCAACTGCAAACTATTCAAATGGGGAAAACATATTCAAGGCCATCTGAATCAAAGCTGCGCTTATAAGGCCGTTTCAATTTTCGATTTTTCCATATAAACTTTGTTTCTGTGACATTTCGGGAGGCAGTATCTTATTAGGCTACCGATTTCGATCACAGTCGATTGAGACTTTTTAGACTTTTTATTTTTAGGTTAAGTGCTTAAAACATCAATTAAAACATGAATACTATAAAATATCCAAGATCCCAGCTTATTTTAGGTACATTCTGGACTATCAAAATACTAATAAATTAGAATTGCAAAAAAACATGAAATCATAACACGAGGTAGGTTAAAACAATTTATAACTTCAATATTTTTCTGCAAAGTTATTTGTTTGTTTGTTGAGTAATCCGTAATTTTTGTAGTGTCTTTAATATTACAAATACAAAGTAAAAGGCTGTCCTTATAATTGTCTACATAAATTTGCTTACCGCAAAACAATTCAACAGTTTGGCACCATTTTTGCCTTTGTATCATATTGCTCGCAATTTCAAATAAGCGAACATCTTTTGCCCCACAAATGAAACACGGTTTTTACCATTTTATACTATTATTTTGTAAAATTGAACTGCTGTTAATTTAATATTGTAGCTTTGATTCGTTAATCGACCACCGAGGGCGCACAATAAGGTTCCGAATTTTTTGTTTTTATGGCCACTCTGCAGAAACAGTTATCATGGAAAATGAAACGGCCTTATAAGCGAAGCTTTTTGATTCAGATGGCCTTGAACGTATTGATGGTCAGTACCATCTATTGGCGGCTGATGTTCTCCTATTAAATTTCAACGCTAGATGATTTTTGGAAAATGATGATTCAAAAACTGCTATTACTCAGTTTTTTCAAATGAAATGACTCTATTTTCACAACGGCAATCGAAAGAACATTAAATGCAAAAAATTATTCACTTATCGCAAAAGGATTAAGAGATGTCATTTTTTAAATGGCCACCCGCAAACAAAAGTTTTGACAAAAAATTAAAGCAAGTATGTCAAAAACTATGACAAATAAATACCAACTATTGATAGGGTTAAATGAGAATTACAAGAGTTATCAAATTATAATATAGCTACGAATCACACACAATTGTATAAAAAATATCGATGGCGTCATCACTCTCACAGAGATAACATCACATGCTTCACAACACACACTTTTGAAAACAAAAATTGACCTATTTCAGGATTTGTGTTCAAAAAGTCACCAATTTAGAAACTAATGAATTTATTTCTTCCATTTGTACCAAACTGTATAATTATGTTGCAACACTAAAAGGATAGTAAGCTTCCAAATTTGTATTTGTTTCGGAAACAACGGATTTTTTTTAGATTTTCTGTACTGATTGAACTTTAATATGTTTTTTGGTTGATAAGCATTCGTTAATAAAATGTTTTTACTCGATGGAAGTGCGTGTTTTGATTAAAAAATTAGTCTGACGGTGTTTCAACATTTTCAAATGAGCTAACGATGAAAAGAAAATATGTTTAGAAATGATGTAAAAAAGAAGTTCAAAGGAATAAGATGGGTTCGGCCTAAATTTTATTTATTCAAATGGCACTTCTCGAATATGTACAGGATTCGAGCTAAATTCTTCTAATAGAATCGTAGAAAATCGATCCGGAAGCCGATGGAGATGTAAACGCAAACAATACACTTTACATTTAACAGAAATAAAAATCTTACAATTTAAAACCTTAGATATTCAACTTGTGTAAACAAATAAGAAATACTTACATAAAGTAATAATGACGAGGGTAGACCGGTGCGTCATCTGACGTATCTCCTTACCACGTTTACATGGCGATGACAAAACGTCAATGTATTTGAGGGTTCAATATATTACGAGTTAGAAGTTGTTTATTGATAAAAGTGTTGCTTTGTACGATTTTTTGCAAAGGCATTTAAAATTTAACACAAGTGCATTTATGCCTGATTTTATGGAAGTTATTTAATCTTAAGGGATTATTAAAAGAAACTAATGAGACAGAACAAAAAACAATAAATCAACCAATAAATGAAAAATACTTGCAAATTATACTAAAAAGACTTTCAACGACAACAAGAATGTTACTGTCAATGTCAAATTGACAATTTCACTCGAACATGATATTTAAGTGGTGTAGTTGAAGTTGAAGTACATATGTAAATTAATGTTCATCCTTAGAGACCCTTTAATTGTTTCAATTTACATTGTGTTGGAGTTTTTTATTTCACTTTTGTGTTGGTAATGAAAAAATGAAATTGATGACGCACAAGACTACCATCGTGAATACTACTATATAACAAAATAAATTAATTGGATTTTACTATTGTATGAAGTGCTTAGTTTAAACGAACTTAAACCATAATTTAAGTAAATGCAATTAATAATTTAAGCATTTATGGGATTTTAAAGGCATACCTATCTACTCGTACATCAGATAGAGTATATTGCTGATCATCATTGATGCAAATTGCGTGAATAATGTACCATAAATAACTATTTTGTGAAATTCTCCATTTTGCATTACTTGTTCTTGAAATATATTTGCTAAATTTCGTTGAAGATGGTTACATGACAAAGGATGAACAAAACCATTAAATTCGTCGCTACGTTTCGATATCTTTATTATTCTTCGCTTGAGGAGGATACAATAAAGGTATCGAAACGTCGCGACGAATTTAGTGGTTTTATTCATTCTTTGTCCTGTATACTATCTTCGACGAAATTTAGCAACTATTTTGTGTTTTGTGTGACTGTCTGTTTTAAGACCGATTTGGTAATTGGTACAAAGTGATCCCACAATGACTGAATATGTTGGCAATTCTGACCCTAATTTTAAAGCTTACCATTAGAGTACGCTTTTGATTAAGAACAATTTAACAATCTTGTGGGGTTGTACGTAAGTATTTGTCAAGCAAAACCGTATCCGGTTGTAGTGTTTCAAATTATTAACAAAAATACTTTCAAATCTGTTGCCAACAGACTCAGTCTTTCTGGATCATTTCGTAGTTTAAATTTAAATTTCAACTGTTTGATAGTTCCTAAAAAAATATTTCTACCTTGTGTGTTGAAAGAAGTTTCAAGTTTTACACAAGTTCGTCTTTTCTCTAAACATCGTAATAACTTCTGTCTCGTTATACTGTCTTCGAGATGCACGGTTTAGTATGTTGGTTGCAAGTTGCAGTTTATTAAAGTGAGGTATGGGAGCGTTTTAAACGACTTGAGTCGTTTATTAATTCCAGTTGCCTCAAATTATGAAGTTTGCGTATTAAGCGCTCAACCCTTGTTCATGTATGTGTGTGTATAATACAACGTTTAATAATTTTGCATATGAAACAGAGTTGCGTCGAGCGTGTACGTTTCTCATTTATCACAAGGAATGTCAGTGCGCGCCAGTATATGAACTTATTAATTAATTTTAAACAAATTGCCGTTTTGGCATGAGCGGCTTGCAGCTTTTCAAGTACAAAGTGTATAATTTATGAGTTTTGAGCGTACGCTTCACGCCGTTGAATGGGAAGGGCACTTCGCTTCGCACACGATCGAATTCCTTCGCCAGAGGGCAACGCAGCCGAAAAGGAACAACATAATACCCTCTCGGTTCACCCTATATAAAAACCGGACGAGTTGCTGCTGACCTTCATTTTATTTTTATGTTTCTTTTTTCTTTTCACGGCGAAAGCCGATATTGAATGGAATTACGAAGCGAAATTGTGTTGTTCGGTCAGACACGAAAAGGCGGTAAATTGTTCTTACTACACGAAGTTGCAAGCGCCATCTTTACTAAAATATGTATATCCACCGTCTTTTGAAATACGAAATAGCTATCCAAACTTTACAATGATTTCCGATAGATCGCGATACTCTGGGTTCAGCGGAGTTCGGGTTTTAATAGTACATTACAAGCGAGCTGGTAAAAATATGCCATTACCACCGAGATTTGTATGCTAGTTTATTCACAATCAGTCAAAAATTTGAGCAAAATAAAATTCTAACAAAGTTAAGGTCTAAACGTGATAGGCCATCCGAATGGCGTTTGATTTTTGACATTTCAGAAATGTCAAAGAAAATATTGAAATAATGCGTGAATCTGACTTAAAATCGTCGAAAATCAATTGAATACTAATTTAGCAAAATTTATGCGTAACTTGACAATTTGAAAGAAAAAATTCCCGGTATTTTTGTAATTTTAAGGTTGGTTATCTTGCATATTACCGCCCAAGAGAAGTAATATTATTACTAGTCATGAGATTTAATGATGTATTTCCCAACCTTTAAAAGGTTAGTAAGCGACATATTATATTAGTGATTGTGAATAAACATGCTTACACTACCATTGCAGAAGGAATAATCAGTCCGTTCCTCAGAGGTAAAAAACTAATACACTATAACTACATCAAGATGAACCGAGTAGCTAATCAAATGGTTAAACTTGAAAATTAAAAAAAAACAGAAAATAAAGAAATAACATTAGATTTTATGTTTTCAAATGTGGTGTCGTTAGATTTGTTTTGTTTTACATTGTGTTGTGCTTGTGGGCTAGAGACAGCTTCATCTTTTCGGAACTTTTTTAGAACTTGTCTTTTCAAAGATTTTTACAATGTTTTTAGGAAGTAATTTTTTATGTCATAAATCATGTTATCAAATATTTTTTTGCAGATGGTAACCAGGACGAAAAAGATATTCGTCGGTGGATTATCAGCGCCCACTACCCTAGAGGACGTCAAAAGTTACTTCGAACAATTTGGTCCGGTGAGTACATATTTTTCTAAAAGTTGATATTCTGGATTAAAAAGGCGTTTCTGTGCAAAAATTAATTTAAAACCGTCCTAAACAAATCTTATTACAAACAAGTTTTTAACCAGAATAATCCAGTGATTCCTATGCGCTTCACGCGCGATATTTAGTAAGCAGAGCACACTTTGACTTGAACATGTACTCTCGTCAACTGCGTTGGTCTCCGTCATCAATAGGCCGTAATTAGGCGAAGCGCAAGTCTCGGTTAAATTACAAGGTAGAAAGTGGATGACGGGTCGTGCTATAAGCGGAGGAGGATGCTCCCAACGTTCGGGTCATCATATGACCTCTCCGACACCACCGAGACCACATGCAAATCTCGTTCCGATCGATTTGCATTTCCGTCGTAAAAAGATATTAAATTGCGAATATTTGAATTTGGATTTTAACTTGTGGGCGATACTTCTGGTTAATTTTATAGCTACTATCATTAATCTATTATACCTACAAAGCTCTCGACAAGCTCACCCGTTATATTCGTTTTGTATGTACTGGGAAGTCTGCGTTCAAAATTTAAAATAACTTCCGTGTCAACAGAAAGTTTAACAACAGTTTGTTATTTTTTACGGGGTACAACACAAAAAGAATAAATACTAGCGGTCCTCGGAGAGTGTACAAAATTACGTAATGTCAAGTGCTTTATGACAATTGTCTGGATTTTATTGGTGCTTTTGTGTTTTTGCAGCTGATACCTGAAAGAATTTATTAAATGATAATTAACTTTGATTCATCAGGTGTTTCAGAGATGGTTGTCATGTGGTATACCATTAAAGTTTTAAATATTTATTTACATTTTAAGTGCTTCTTTGCAAATTAAAAACAAAAATTATGATAACTTTCCTGGATCTTTCTTACATTAGTAAATATCACTTTTTGTTTAATCGTCCTATTAACAAGTTTTCTAGGTTGATAAATTTTTGTTTTTTGTTAAGGAAAACAAATTTATTTCTCGCCATCTATTAGGTTAGCAATGACAAATAGTATTTTTTAGTGTTTCACTTCGAACAAGCGCTTTCTGTCATTGTTTCTTGATGAATTAAAGTGTTTATTGTAGTGAACTTTAATTGCGTTAAGTTTTCATACGGTTAAAAACTTAAAAACTCATCTAATCGATTTGTTTCGCTTCTCCGCTTCGTCGAAGATTGCATCCTTTATGTCTTCAGATAAATTATTGTTTTGTTTATTGTTTTTCCGTTGATATCAAATTTATATAGGCTGTGGTCTAATAAATCTAATAGTACCTAATTTGGCGTAGTAATTTATTGGATCGGAACATTTTGTGGAAAGTTGGCCCATGTTTGTAAGAGACGATCAATGAATATTATTGGAAGGGTTGCATAAAATTCTAAACATAGGGTTTGGCCTTTCACCTCTGCTAAGCTCACGATGTCGCGTTTCAACTAGATTTTCGAGAGACCAGCTTATAATACAGGTATCGTTAGAAACAGCTGTCGCTGCTTATAAGTGATTTGCATGGACTGTACGCCACATTTGCATACTACAATAAATGGAATATGTATACTAAGAAGATTTTGTGTTTTGATTTTATATGATACAGTAATTGAACGAATATAATCCAGTGAAAGGATTTTTTCTAAGATTTGATAGAAGCAATGGTGTGAGTAAATAATACGAGTATAAAGAGGGATTGGTGCAACGATGTTTGTTTAGGATTTCTTGCGCTGTATCGAAATTATTTCAGGTATACAGTTAACCGGCAAATATTTGTATTGCTGAGGAAATGAAAATGTGTGGGATAAAGACTCGAAAAAAATCAGACAAGAGAGGTTTCTTTGGAATCTTTGTCAATAAATTCTAAAGACTTTGTTTTGAAATGTCTAGCTAAGTAAGTCACTCAACTCAATTAAGCTTATAATAATTTAGGGTCTATTGCTCCTAGAAGACTTGAAAGTGTTGAAGAGACCTTTCTATGAACAAGTTAGTTTCAAGGAGTACAAATAGGCGTGTGAGAAACTTAATGATACTTGGAAGAAAAACTTAAACAACAAAATGGCCTGTGGAAATGTGTTTAGTTTAAATTATCGATTGGGAAACGCATGACTTGAGGAAATAATATTCAATGAAAATTCGTATTTAGCCGAAGAATCAAAAGACAATTTTCGGTTATTACGTTTTTTGATTACTTGGGACACACGCAAAAAGACTATATGAAAGGGATAAATTGTGGCATAAAATTTGCAGTAGGAGAAAAAATACTGTAAAATCAACGTGCTGGAGGCGATTTTTGCAAAAGAAGTATGAACGACACCTCCGAATTAGACGAAGTTAAAGTATGATGAAAGACGCGCAGATCTCGTCAACGAAAAGGAAGTTTTTAGCTCAGGGTTACCAATGTGATGACACAAACAAACGCTTGCCTCGGGACATCTATTCGGTTCTAAATCGCTCCAATATATATCTCCATTAAATTTATGCTTGTCAACTGCAAGTTCCGTTTGCGTTTCGGAATGGAACTGAGACGAGCCCAGCCAGACAATAACGGTTTGATTAAAACGAGCGCAACTCAACGGTTAAATGTCACAACAAACTATAGATCACGGACCGTTGACTAATGAACATCGCGAAATTAATACAAGGGCTTAAACGCGTGTTGTAATAATCTTAAAAATGCACGTTTCCATTTTAACTGATATCTGGCAGATGTGTGAATTCTTCTGTCGACTGTTTTGTTTGGTTAATTTATGGAAGCGAAATTGTTTTTGCCTGTTTATTTCGGAGAGAGAAGAAGGGGTTGTGCTTTTTCGTGAAGGCAGTTAAATCAGTTTAATGAGTTCATTACGGAGGAATATTTGTGAGGCCGCCATTAAAACAGAGAAATTATAACCCGAAGCAACTGTTTGGGTAATTGAACGCTTACGAGCGAGCCGCCAATATCAAAAACACCAACTTCGACATCAAACTTATGAAACTTTAGGGGCGAACTAGGAAAGTCATGTATGAGAGTTTCCTGTCTTGGGAATATTCAGATGGGAATGAAAGCGCACGCGAGCTGTTTCACTCTTCTTATATAACACGACGGGACCTAAGAGTCGACATCACCGACGCTACCTCCCTGATCCTCAGAATTATGAATGTAAACCTTCGAAAACAACCGCGTTATTTCCAGGGAGGATTACACGCCTTTCCTACTCTTGCATTCATTGTACATACACTACCCTTGAAATACAGCTATACGAACATTTAATCAGTCAAAACTAAAAGTGCGAATTTACTGCCCCTACATATTTAATCTACTCCTACAAGTTTCTTACAAACCAGTTCCTTTTCTCATTATATCTTTGAACTCGTTCTGTCATTCATAATCCACACCCTTGCATAACATATGCCATTATGGTGAAAAATTCGACTACTGTCCTAATTTGTAATCTCCATTCATCCCTCAAGTATAATGTCTCTAGAATAACTTGTTATCGTTATTCGTTTTCTTTATGTCTTCGTTCGTATGTAACCTACGTTCAAAATTCCATCACTGTTCCGGTCTTTCACTTTACCTTGCGATATTTTCCGTATGTTTATTTCTCATATCTAATTGATTCTAGGCTTTATTATTTTATTAAGCTCATCCTGACTTTACCGTTTATATACTATTTTACTGTTCGTCTAATTAGATTCTCACTGTTGCTACGCTAAGTGTAAATCATCGATTTTATGTAGACTTTTACGACAGCCGACGCGTCGGGACCCATATTCATAATTATTTACAGTCGAGTTCTTTGATTGTTGGCCCAGACCATAATGCGGTGACAATAAACAGTTACCACTTTACCGGTTATGGTAACTTGGTTATTAGCAACGCAGCAGTCTTCGCAATTGTCGACGTCTATGAACTTGCAAGTTCCTGTTGGCGTCATATGCAAAAGTCGTCTTCGTGTTGTATTCTTTCAGACGCTGAATAACTGTGAGTACAGTTTGTTGCAAAAATTAAAATTTTTCATAAAATATAAATAATAACAATTTGCACTGGTCTTCCTACAAAATTCAGAGTTGATTATCGTTAATTTACAAAGTGATCCAGAATGAATGAATCTATTGCCAATCCTGAACTCTAATTTTTTAATAATATTATTGGAGTATGTACGCTTCTGATTAACAACAATTCAATAATCTTGAGGGGTTGTACTTTAAGCATTTGTCAAGTAAAATCGTATACGGTTGCATTGTTGTTTTTTTTTTTTTTTTGGATCATTTTGTATTTTACAGTTGAAACAATGTACAGAGCGATTCAATTGTCATAATCATACATACTTTTTTTTCGATCAAACGATCTTTTATCCGCTTTTCTTTTATCAAATCAAAGATTTAATAAAAATGCAATCAGTCCTTTAAACATAAGTTGCTTTCTTGGCGCTAGAAACCGTTCTGGTAATATTCTGGGTTTTAGGTGCGATGATCTTGTTAGTAAATGAATCTTGAAGCAGTTGTAATAACGCTCATTGGTCGAATTTAGTTGGCTGACTGCATGCGCTGGCTAATTTCCTGACCGTAAAGCTTGCAGGAAAATAAACTAACCCGAAATGCATAATACATAAACCGCAATCAGATTATCTTAAACACAATTTATTAGCGCTCATATTATCAGCGCATCGCGTAAGCGCGTCGGTTGTAGTGCCTCTAAGGTTTTGTTTTGTTGTGGTGATGTTGATATTATACCAGTATCTACCCTTTTACTACAGTCTTAAATTACACAAGGAGAACCGACGAGCTTGAGTTTATGGCGTTTAATAATTATCCAAGTCGGTCTTATAAGCGTTAGCCTCATTATGACACCGTAGTTGCAATGTTGCAGTTCCAGCAAAGTCTCACTGAGGGTTAGATACACACCGCATCATCAAAGAAAAACTCTGGAATCAACGACATGATTTTTATGTGGTAAAACCTACACCATTTTGTACTTTGCTGATATCGAGATAGAAGAGCAAAGCGTGTTTTTTATT